ATCTCGCAAAAGTCCGTCTTAATTTTTTTTTGTCCCCTGTCCCCTGCGGGGCTCCGTAAATTTCAATCACATTGCAGACTTAAACTGTTTTGGATATTGATGTGTGTTGTCAAAAATGTCCAGTATGTAAGATATTTATTTACAACTCCTGGGCAGGTGCGACCAGATTTGCAGTTTAGTATTAATATATGCATAATGTGCATTACACAATCTTAACAAGTACACAGCATTTATACAACACAGCATACAATAATGGATGTATGTGTATTGCAGGAAAGTATGATAGGGGAGGCACAGTCCCTGGTAGGGAGGAAGAAAAATGCTGGTGGTGTGAAAGAAATGCTACAGGACGCAACAAAACTCACACATAAACTCCGCTTTCTTGTGGAGGAGGTTTGTATCTGTTAGCTGTATCTGATGGTTCTGGTGCTCTCACGGACATTGCAGTTTGTCTTGTGATATAACGAAACTTCAGATGACTGATGCTGTGAAGCTGTATAGTTGTGTACAACTTTTCTCATCCACACATGTACATCCTCACAATCTCTAGCCCCAGCACACAGTTCCAGACATGTTTGTGTGGCTGCTGAGCAACAACAAGCGTGTTGCATACACCCGGGTTCGAACCAGAGACCTGCTGTACTCCAGCAGGCAGGAGGCCCGAGGAATTAACTGTGGCAAGGTCATAACCCTGTTTCTCAAGGTAAACTCGCATACGCAGAACAGGTCTTATCCATTGTAGGAAGGCTTCCAGATGAAAAATAATCTCTGTGTGTGCATGTGTGTGTGTCTGTGTGCACGCAGCCTCCAGGTAAGCGTGTTACAGGCTTATCAGTCCAAGCGAAACTGGATGTGTATCTGTGGTTTGGAGCTTGCAGCGACTCTAGCCACATGCTGGATAACCTGCCTGCAGGATTCACTCCAGCTACAGGGGGCGCTGATGCCAACAGCCCTCCCACACACTTGCACTGCAGCGGTGAGACTGAAGCTAACTTTTGCAGTGTCTGTTCACCTTGTTTTATGTATTGTGCTTTTGCAGTGTACAGGCTTTCCATTTCTTTTGATCACTACCTAGAACCAGAAATCAGTCCATACTGACACGACAGTTTCCTGGGTTATGATATGTAGAGACGTGGAAAATATGTACATAGTTTCCAGGTCTAAAACATGAAACCAGTGTTTCAAATGGCTCATAGAATTCATTAAAAACAGGGATGGGTATCGTTTAGGTTTTATCCGATACCGGTGCCAAACCGGTACTTTTGAAACGGTGCCGGTGCTTAAACGGTGCTCAAACCGGTGCTTAAAGAATGGAGAACACAAACTTTGTCCAAAAACCTCT